CCAGGCCCCGCGCAACTACAGCAGGTGCGAGAGCAGATGGCCGCGGCCCTGAAGCGCCTGCGCGAGCTCGAGGACCTGGCGCGCGCCCTGCCTGAGCTGCAGGAGCAGGTGCGCGCGCTGCGCGCGGAGAAAGCGCGACTGCTGGCCGGGCGCGCGCAGCCCCAGCCGGACCCGGAGGCCGAGGCGCGCCCGGACAAGCTCGCCCAGTTGCGGCGCCTCACCGAGCGCCTGGCCACCTCGGAGCGCAACGTCCGCTGCAAGGCCGGCTCACAGGCTGACGGCCCGGACGGGTTGGCTGCAGCGCGCAGGGAGGGCGCGCACCAGGTCCTCGACGGGGCGGCCGGGACACCTGGAACCCCGGAGGGGTCGCCCCAGACCCGGGAGGTGGGCACCGAGGCTGTGCTCGAGACCCAAGAGGCAGGTGCCCAGGCCGCGCCGGAGATCCGGGAGGCCGGCGTGGGAGCGGCCCCCGAGACCGTGGAGGCGGATACCTGGGTGACCGAGGCGCTGCTCGGGGTGCCTGCAGCTGCCGAGCGCGAGCTGGAGCTGCTGCGCACCGGCCTGGAGCACCAGCGCGGGGTGAGCGAGCTGCTGCGCGGGCGGCTGCGGGAGCTGGAGGAGGCCCATGCCACCGCCCAGACCCCTCGGGGCCGTGCGGAGAAGACCACGCAGACTGAGCTCCCAGAGGAGGCCCCCTGCCTGGCTCCGGAGAGGGACAGCCGTCCAGCGGACCTGGCCGCGGCCCCGGCGGGTGAGTCCTGACCCCCGGCTGAGCCCCTGCGCACGAGCCGCCCAGCCCAGGCTCAGCGCCCTCCTCTGGCCCCCGCCAGGCACCCTCAAATCCATCATGAAGAAGAGGGATGGCCCCGCTGGCGCCCAACCCAGCTCGGGACCCAAGAGCCTGCAGTTTGTTGGCGTCGTCAACGGACAGTGAGCGCGTTCTCCTTTCCCACGGCGACAGCTGGGGGGACACAGACGGAGTGTGCATGGCCCCGCCGCGCGCCTCAGGGCCACCCTGATTCCTCTGCTGTGAAATGGGGACAACTCAGGGGCTGGGGGTTTAGCTCAGGTGCACAGCGCCTGCCTGGCAAGCGCGAGGTCGTGAGTTCGATTCCCGGTACAGGAAAAAAAAAAGAAAGAAATGGGGGACAACTCGCCGCGCTCAGCTCATGCCTCTCGCTCTGCCCCCAGGTATGAGAGCTCGTCCAGCGAGGACGACAGCGACAGCAGCGACAGCCAAGGCGGCGCCCCGCGGCCCCCGAGGAGTAGCTCTTCCGGCTCAGGGGATGACAGCGGTGGGGAATCCGACTTGGGCACGCCCAGCGGTGGGGATGTCAGGGACCCCGGGCCAGAGGCAAAGGAGGAAGCAGAACCTCAGCCCGGGACCCAGGGAAGGTAAGAGGCACCAGGACTCAGGAACAGGGGTGGCTGGGTGTCTCAGGATCCCCCCTGAGCCTCGCCCGCCTCTCTGAAGGTACGAGCTGAGCCCGCGGTTGCGCGAGGCGTGTGCCGCGCTGCAGAGGCAGCTGAGCCGGCCCGGCGGAGTGGCCCGAGACAGCGTGAGTGCGGGATGGTCCGGGGTGCGCCCTGCCGCTCTTAGGAAGCCTTGAGTTTGGTTCTCTCTCACCAGGGACCTATCTAGACCCTAGGTCCTCCAAGCGATCTGTTCTAGAGAGGGGGTGACCTCTCCTTAATTCCCTCAAAGGGAGCTGGGCGTGGTGGCGCACGCCTGTGATCCCAGCACTTAGGAAGCTGAGACAGGAGGATCGCTGGGAGTTCGAGGCCAGCCTGGTCTCTATAACAAGACTCTCTCGCCCCCAACCAAGTCCCACAAAGGGGCGCACCTCTAGCCCCAACCACAGATTCAAGGCCAAGTCCTGCTCCCTGACTTCCCAAAGGCAAGCTCTCACCGCCTCTCCCACTCTACTCTCCCAGATTCTTTCCAGAAGGGTAGGACCCCGTCCCTCCGCAAACAGCAGCCCCCCTTTCTGAAAGGGGTGTTACCCCAGCGCTCTCCCTACTCGGACAGTGACCTTCCTTCTTTACCAGGATCGCCAACAGCGTCTTGCCAGGACCCCTCGCCCCCAGCCCTGAATTATTACTGACACCTTGTCGGTGTCCCTGCAGAACGCGGCGCGCCTGGTGGCCCAGGAGTGGTTCCGGGTGTCCAGCCAGCGGCGCTCCCAGGCCGAGGTGGTGGCCGGGGTGTTACGCGGGTTGGCGCGCCTGGGATCCCCGCTGCTGACACACGTGGTGAACCTGGCAGACGACAACGGCAATACAGCCCTGCACTACAGCGTGTCCCACGGGAACCTGGCCATTTCGAGCCTGCTGCTGGACACGGGTCAGACACACGGAGGGCCGGGAGACCAGGGAACGGGAGTCAGGCAGAGAGGGCGCCAGGGGAGCCCGGCGGGAGACACTGGGGAAACGGAGACAAGGGATCGCCGGCAGAGGGCGCCGCTGCATCTTTGTGAAATTACCAGATCCTTGGGTGTTGTTTTTTTTTGAGTGTCACACTACATAGTTCAGGTTGACCTCGAACTCACAGCGAACTCGTAATTCTTCTGCCTCAGCCTCCCGAGTGCTGGGATTACAGGTGTGTGAAACCACACCCTGCTGTGGAGTTCACTGCACCCCTACCCGCCAATGGACGTCAAACTCAGGGCTGTCACATTGAGCTACTCCTCCAGCGTTTTTTGTTTTTTTTTTTTTAAATCAGGGTGGCACTGGGTAGCCCAGGCAGCGATCTTCCTGCCTCAGCCTCCAGAGAGCTGGATCACAATGTGTGCCACCATACCAATTCCCAATCATTTTTTTTTTTTTAATTGGGGTAGTGCTGCATGCCTATAATCTTGGAAGGCTGAGGCAGAATTACTGAAAATTCAAGGCCAGCCTGGTCTACATAGTGAGTTCCTGGCCAGCTTGAACTACATAGCTAGACCTTAACTCAAAATCAAACAGAAGCTGAGTATGGTGGCACATATGAGTGACCCTAGTGATCTGGAGGCTGAGGCGGGACTGTTGTGAATATGAGGGCAGTCTGGGCTACACAGCGAGTACCCTGTCTGAAAAATGGCGGCAGGGTCCTCCTGCCTCAGCTTTCCGGAGTGCTGCAGTGACAGGCTTGTGCTGCTACACTTAGATCCCAAAGGTCTTGGCCTCACCAGAGACTCCCCCGCAGGTCCACCCCGACCTTCCCTCTTTGCAGGGAAAAGGAATGCCCAATTTGGGGATAGACCACAGTGCAGGACATGACTCAGCTGCCCCAAGCCCCGCATCAGGCCAGCCGGGCTCTGCCCCCCTCCTCGGCTGCGGTGTTCCCGCTCTCCTGCCTGTCTGCTCACCCCTGCCTCAGCTTCCCCTGCCCTGAAGCACAGCTGTGTACGCCCAATGCTGCAGGCACTGAGAGGCTCCTGGGGTGCCAGCTCACTGGGCACCGACCCCAGAAGGGCTGGAGACAGGGTGTCTTCCCCTGGGCCACCCTCCGCACCCGAGAACACACCCAGGAAACCCTGCAGAGCTTGCTGAGTGAAGGTCTTCGCCCCCTCCTTCCAGTCATGAAGGATGTAGGCTGGGAGAGTTGAGGCGAGGAGCGAGACCGCAGTTACCAGATGAAAACATGAATTCACTCCTGGTGGGCGCCAGGCGCCTGGAGCAAGCACCATCGGGAGATGAAATGAGGAAGGAAGGTACCCTGGGGGTGAGACTCATGGGTAGAGCAACTCTGGCATACGGGAAGCCCTGGGGACAACCCCAGCAACACAAGAAAAAGGAGCCTATGGTAGCCAGGACGGCAGGAAGTTGGGGGTTGCCCGCCCAGCTTCCCCGGGAGGCTCCACCCGTATTGCTGTCCCCCCTTCACAGCTGTCGTGGATGAGCGGGGCATCAAGTCACACACCTCCTGTCATCCCCGCATATGTTCAAGCCCAGCCTGAGTAACTCAGACTTCGTGAGACCCTGTCTCAAAATAGAAAAAAAATGCTGTAGAAGGATGGGTGAAGACCCTGGATTCAATGCCCAGTATGGGGGTGGAAGCCCCTAGCGCAGGCTGCACAATTAGGAACCCATTTAATTTTTTTTTGTCTTTTTGAGACAGTTTCTCACTGTGCAGTTCAGGTTGGCCTTGAACTCACAACCATGCTCCTGCCTCAGCCTCCCAAGAGGTGGGATTACAGGTGTGCGCCACCACGCCCGGCATTATTTGCACTTTTGAGACAGGGTGTCACTCTGTAGCCCAAGCTAGTTTGGAACTGGTGATCCTCCTGCCTCAGCCTACTGAGTGCTGAGGTTACAGGAACACACCATCATGCCTGGGTAATTTTCTTTTTTATAGTGCTGAAGATCAAACCACAGCCCTAGCTGGGTGTGGTGGTGCATGCCAGTAATCCCAGCACTTGGGAAGCTGAGGCAGGAAAATCGCTTTGAGTTCGAGACCAGCCTGGGATACAAAGTGAGCTCAAGGCCAACCTGAACTACACAGCGAGTTTCGAGACAAAAACAAATACACTAACAGCCCTGTGTATTCTACAACAATGCGATGCTAAGCCACACCTACCTTCTAACACCTCCCGCTTAACCCTTTTACTAAGTCCTCATCTTGATCCCCTACCTAAGGTAACCGTTCCATGACTCCGCCAGATCTTCTCCCACCCACTCACCCCCCAAGGCCACCTCTCCTCAGCCCAAAGCTTACACAGGCCCGCACTCAAGCAGCCCCGCCAGCAACACATGATCCCGACAGAACTGAGCCAGAGGAGGCTGGGCTCATGTTCCTTGCTAGTGCTGAAGTAGACATTTCCTGGGCTGCTATAAAAAGTGTCACCACGTGGGTGGCTGAACACAACACAAATGTCAGTTCCACAGTGTGAGATCAAGGTGTCTGCAGGGTCGTCGCCTTCTTGGGGTGCAGTGGGGGGATCCCCTTGTGCCTTCCTTGCAGCTTCTGGTGGTGGCTGTGGGCAACCACACTGCACCACTGCACATTGCGACTTCACCTTAAGATTGTATTTGCCAAGGCCCTGTTTCTAAGTAAGGCCACGTTCACGGGTAGTGGGGGATTGGACCGCCACCTTTTTCAACCAATAACCCAGGCTGCAAGCTGAGGATTCTGGGGAAAACATCTGGGCTGGGGATGCAGCTCCGTGGTACAACCCTTGCCCAGCATTTGAGAGGCCCCGGGTTCCACCTCTAGCACCAAAACAAAAAAACCCAGACAAAAACCAAAAAGCTAACAGAAGCTCACATACTAGGGGCAGCAGGCATGGCATGCATTCTGGAAGCGGGACAGCGGATTAGGGAGAGGGTAGCGAGTCAGGTTACGGGCTAAATCTTTTTCACTGCTGCTTGGGGGCATCTACGGAAGGTGTCACGGACAGGGAGCAGGGTGGAAGCTGGCATAGCTCCCAACAAAGGAGCAACCATATTGGCTGGTTGCTGTTAGCCATGAGGTACACCTGTCCACTGGGTCAGCAGGCGCTTACTGAGCACCTATTACATGCTAGGCACTAAACAGTGAGGGATACAGCGCCAACAAAACCTGCCCGGTTTGAAAGAGCCAAGAAGGGAAAAGGAAAAAAAAAAAAAAAAAAAAAAGAGCCAAGAAGGGGGCTGGGGATTTAGCTCAGCGGCACAGTGTCTGCCTGGCAAGTGCAAGGTTGTGAGTTCGATTCCTGGTACCGGAAGAAAAAACAAAAACAAACAAACAAACAAAGAACAAAAGAGCCAAGAACCAAGAAGGTTTCACTGAGGCAAGGTGGTTACTGGGAGGGGACCTGCGTGGGCATAGGACTCACGGTGACTGCACATCATGCAGGTTGAGGACTTGAGGCACCAAGGGAGGTGAACGTCAGGACTGAGCTGTGACCACCCTCTCTCCCCAGGGGTCTGTGACGTCAGCTGCCAGAACCGCGCTGGCTACTCTGCACTCATGCTGGCCTCGCTCGCCTCCGTGGGGCAGGGCCCGGAGGACATGGCTGTGGTCCGGAGGCTCTTCACAATGGGTGACGTCAATGCCAAGGCCAGCCAGGTGCACACTCACCCCCCCTCGGGCTCAATTAGGGGGCGACCGTTTCCACCCTGGGAGCCCACGCTAGCCGGCCTCACTCCCTTGTTCTCTGGTCCCCAGACGGGACAGACGGCCCTCATGCTGGCCATCAGCCACGGCCGCCAAAACATGGTGGCAGCCCTGCTGGAGTGTGGGGCCGACGTGAACGCGCAGGATGCCGACGGGGCCACGGCGCTCATGTGCGCCAGCGAGTACGGGCGCCTGGACACCGTCCAGTTGTTGCTCAGCCAGCCAGGCTGCGACCCTGCCATCCTGGACAATGTGAGCGACTGGGGACCACGGGGCTGGCATGGAGGGAGGGTGCCCTGCTGTAGCTTGGCGACCTGATGCCCCCCATGCTCCTCAGGAGGGCACCAGCGCCCTGGCCATCGCCCTGGAGGCGGAGCAGGACGAGGTGGCTGCTCTACTGCACGCCCACCTGAGCTCCAGCCAGCCCGGTTCTCAGGTGAGCACAGACCCCAAAACAAAGCACTCTTAGCTACAAGCCAGGCCTAGGAGGGCACCGAGCATGCTGCAGGCCTCTATTCCTGGGGAGCCCCAGAGGTGGGGAACCTGGGGCTTCTGTGAAGCAGATATACCTCCAGGTCAAGAAGCCCTAACCACAGAAATAACCTGGCTTTGATCACAAGCAAAATGTATTTTGCCTGTGGGTTTTGGCAATCTGACCCCAGACACTCATGTCAAAAGGAGAGGACCTCTCTGACTTTAGGCAAGACTTGCCAGCAGCTGGTGGGCAGAATAAATCCAAGGGACAGGGGCTTATCTGCAAAGTGCAGCAATGTCCTCAGCACTTTTACCTATCTAGCCAGGGTTGGGAGGCTGAGGCAGGAAGATAGGCCAGGCAGGGCTACATAAGAGGCACTGTCTCAAAGAACAAAAAATTATCCTGTACTCACCAGACAGCTGAGATGTGGAAATGATCAAGCCCCTCTTCCAAGTCACACAGGGGTAGTGCCGTGAGTCAAACCAAGCAGCCTGGCTCTAGTAAGGGGTGACCGTTCTTTGGGGGTTTGTGGGGTGTCTGAACGCTCCCAGCCTCCAACAACTCTTCCCTCCTCTCTCTAGGCCCAGGCAGCCCCAGACTCCCCGACAGCCACCCGGGCAGGCACACCGAGCGCAGGATGCAGTGAGGTCGGAGAGGGAGCCCAGCCTAAGTGAGCTGCCAGAAACACCAGACTGGGACTCAGGGAAATCCTTACCTCCCTGCCTCAGCCTCCGGATCACCCGCCCACCCCGTCACACTTCTTCCCTAATAAAACACTGCTCCTACGCTTGCCCTGTGTGGGGACAGCGCGTTTGTGCACATGGGGACAGACAGAAACGGCTTCCCTTGCCAAGAAAAACAGCCTGTAAGTTCTGCCGAGTACAGAAGGCCTGCGGCCACCTGGGGACGGCACAAGAACCAAAGAAATTCTAGAGGACCGAGGAGGGCAGGAGCTTACACACAACACAAACGCTTTATTTCAAGGGTGCCAGTTCATCCCGCGGCGCAGCCGATCGATATCCAGGACCCTGCGAACAGACCCGAGCGTGAGATGCAGACGCGGCCGCCAGCAACCGGCGGAGCCCCTTCTCTCCCGCCAGGGTGCCGACCCCGTCGCCCCCGCCCCGGCCAGGAGGGGACAGGAACCCGCCCCGTACCCACCGGCGGCGGGCTTCAGCGCAACCTCCGGGCTTCCCGCTCCGACTCCAGCAGGGTGAGCACGTCGCCCTCGCGCACGGGCCCCTTCACGTTGCGGATGATGGAGCGGCTCGTGTCGTCCATGAATTCCACGCGCACCTGTGTGCACTGTCCCTGCGAGCCGGTCCTGCCCAGCACTTTGGTGACCTGGCAGAAAGAGGCTGGAGTCAGACCTGGCCCGCCCGACTCTCCCGCCTTCTCGCTCCCGTCCGCGATGCTCAAATCCGGGCCCCGACTTACCCTAGCCAGCTTGATAGGTTGCACCCGACTCGTGTCCATGATGGCGGCCTGGAGGATCGGGCGGAGAGGAGTCACGTGGCGCGGGGGGGACTTTTATAGGGCGCGGCTGACCCGCCCACTCTAGATCTCGCGAGATCGCGCCTCGCGCTTCCCAGAAGGCCCCGCGGTAGAGACGTCACCGGAGCCCTTCGGCGTTGACGAAAGATGGCGTCCGCTACTCGCATTATCCAGAAGCTGCGGAACTGGGCTTCCGGGGTGCGCGGGAAGGACTGGGCCACGCTGGGAGGGATGTGGGCTCTGTGCACCCGGTACTCGCTCCCGCTGCTCCCCTCCCTGTCTCTCAGCCCGCAGGTTCCCTGGATGCTCCAGTTCGTGATCACTCGCCCGCCCTTAGCTACAGGCATTACCTTGGTCCTGGGCTGTCCCTAGCTCTCGACCTTCGCTTTGGATCTCGTGGCCCGCGGGATCCGTAGCCCTGTCCTGATGTTCGTCCCCTGCCTTCCCTCCGTCTCCTCACCCCCTCTTCTGGACGCCCCGCAGGCTGACCTCCCTTGTCCTCTTCCCACAGCAAGACCTGCAGGCGAAGCTGCAGCTGCGATACCAGGAGATCGCCAAGCGGTGAGCAGTCCCCGCTCGCCGCCCAGCCTCCGATCTGGTCTTTTCCCCACCAAAAACAAAATCCGCGTTTCTTCAGGCCCCGGGATCCCCGAGCAGAGATCCCGTCCCCGGCCACCCTCCGGGTTGTGCGGGCAGAAGTTTGCCTTTAGCCGCGCTGGACGTTACGGAGCTGGCTCCTCGCGGAACGGTCAGGCTGGGTGTGCGCTGCCGGTTGGATTCCCGGGTAGATCTGCAGTCCTCGGTGTGGCCCTGCAGTGTTTTGCCCCCAAGCTACAGATGGAAAAATAGGAGACCTCGAGGGGCCCAGTCATTTGCCGAAAGTGACATCCGGGGGTTGAGCCCCAAAACATCCTACTGGACTCATTTACATAATTGGGACTTACAAACTCTGCCATGTCCTTAGCTTCGGGGGTTCCAGTAAGAACAGGAGTAGTTCTCCGAATTCCTTTCGTGGAGCTAACATGCAACAGAAATAAACACAGCAAGTAGCATCGTTCTGGAAGGGAAACAAAATGAATGAATAAACTGGAGGGTGGCTGCTGGAGGTCAGGTGTTGGGGAAGGTATTTTTGGAAGGGATTAAGGATACCGCACCCTCTAGTGGCTCATTTGGGCCTTGGTATTGGGCAGCTGGTTCTTTTTTACCTTTCTGTGCAGTGGTGCAGAAGTCTTGGTGAGGGTGTACACAGTGGGTCATCTCTGCCTTCCTTAACCTAATTTGAACTTCCACGTAATATATTGCTTACCACACTGAAGTAGTTTTTAACCTTATACTGCATTTCTCATTTTTGAAATACAGTGACAGCTGGGTGTAGTAGCCCACACATTTAATCTCAGCACTTGGGAGATTGAGGTGGGAGCACTGCTGCGAGTTTGAGGTCAGCTGGGATACATAGTGAGTTCAGGGCCAGCCTGAACCACATAGCAAGACCCTGTCTCGAGAAAACAAAAACAATGGCTAGCAGTTGATCTATGAAAAAGTTAAGTCATGGCAAACTAGTTACCAGACCAAAAACCAGGTTTTTCTTTTTTTTTTGGTCTTTTTGAGACCGGGGCTCGCTATGCAGTTCAGGCTATCCTCGAGCTCACTTTGTAGCCCAGGCTGGCCTCGAACTCGCAACCATCCTCCTGTCTCAGCCTCCCGAGTGCTGGGAATACAGGCGTGCACCACCACGCCCGGCCTAAAAAAACAGATCTTTGAGTCAGGCATGGTGGCGCACGCCTATAATCCCAGCACTCAGAGACTGAGCAGGAGGATCCTTGCGAGTTCAAGGCCAGCCTGGAATACAAAGTGAGCTCAAGGCAGCCTGAACTGCACAGCAGACCCTGTCTCAAAAAAGACCAAAAAAAAAACAAAAAAAACAGATCTTTGTATGACTTTCCCGGCCTTGTCTGCTCTCTCACACACCCTCCCTGGGAAGCTCCTCTCGTTTAGAGCTCGGCATTTCCTTTTAAGGCGCCAGGTTTCTTCAGAAATTCAGCCCTGGGATCAGCCCAAGGCAGGGCTGAGTTGTATTCACCCCCTCTCTTGGCATCAGACCACACGGTAGCAGGAAATGCAGAGACCTGGATGGGTTCCAGGGCAAAGTGCTCTTTGGGCCATAAGCCTTGATCCCAGCAGGGTGCTTCAAAGAACTCCTGAGACGACAGGAAACCCTGGGAGAAAAAGTCACGCAAAGCAGACACAGTCTGGCACTGCTGCCTATATGTTTATGGACTGTAATCGCTGGATAGGTTATAGTCATGGCCTTGGCCTCTTTGGTTCCCGAGCACCTGCAGGTAGAGCTCAGCCAACTGCCATACCATACCCACTGGGAAATCACCAAGCCCCACCTTCTGAAGAGCCCCACAAAGGGTCCTCTGGATCTCCTGTATTTGGGCCATGGGGAGACCTGGGGTAGGGTGAGCTGGGCCTGATCTTCCACTGCCTTTACTGTTTGCCGAGGGACACCTCTTGCCTGTGGCTCAGCCCCGGGTTTTTGAGACCTGTACAGGACGGATCAAAATACATGATTTGTGTTTAAATTTTAAAAATTACTATTGTAAAAGAAACATTGTCCTGTAATCCCAGCACGCAGGAAGCTGAGGCAGGAGGATTGCCGTGAGTTCTAGGCCAGTCTGGGATACATAGTGAGTTCCAAGAGCAGCCTAAAGTTGTTTTTTCTTGGGTCAGGCATGGTTGCACACACCTGTAATCCCAGCACTTAGGAGGCTGAGGCAGGAGGATCGTTGTGAGTCTGAGACCAGCCTGGGCTACAAAGTGAGCTCAAGACCAGCCTGAACTGCATAGCAAGACCCTGTCTCAAAAAGACAAAAAAAGAAAAAAAAAAGAGCAGTGCTCCCCCCGTCCACCCCTTTTGCTCTTGTTGCTTTTGCTGTGTTCTGGTGCCATGAGCTATTGCCCCTGTATCATGCCACCCTGCCTTGGAGCCAGCCGATTATGACTAAAACCTCCACAAACTGTGAGCTAAATAAACCTTTCCCTCTTAAAAAAAAAAAAAAAAAAAAAAGGCTAGCCTGAACTGCATAGTGAGACCCTGTCTCAAAAAAACAAACAAAAAACCAGTGTCATTAGTCTCCCTCCAAATACTTCCTCTTGGATTGAACACACTTAGGCATTCCTGCCGCTTCAGTCAAGGCTGGCCTTGAACTCACTCTGTATAGCCCAGGATGGCCTTGAACTCATGGCAGTCCTTCTGCCTCCGCCTCCCAAGTGTTGGGAGTACAGGCATGCACCACCATGCTGGTCTCGTGTCTTTACAACAATAAAAAATATAGTGAATACTGCCGTTGAATGCCATCCAGTGAAAAGCAGGCTCATAAAACACAGTGTGTCTTTATCCATCTTATTTATATTTTGGAGACTGGGTCTATGTATTTCAGACTGGCCTTGAACTCAGGAATGATCCTCCTGCCTCATCCTCATGAGTGCTGGGGTCATAGGTACATGACACAATACCTGGCCTCATCGACCTATTCACAGGGCTGGCACTGTGTGATTTCTGGCCCTCCCCCAAAGTCAGAATGGCAGTGAGAGCCAGGCGTGATGGCTCGTGCCTACAATCCCCACCACGCGGGAGGCTCGCTGTGAGTTTGAGGCCGGCCTGGGCTGCATGGTGAGTTGAAGGCAGCCTGAACTGCATAGTAAGACCCTGTCTAAAAACAAAAACAAAAATGAAATGCAACGACAATGAAAGAGAAATGCTTTGAATCGATTCAGGACATCGAGGCAGCCGCAAGAGCACAACTAAAGACACTCAAGGAAGAGGGCAGAATTCTCAGAAGGGCAGGAGTGATGATCCCAGCCGGGCATGGTGTACGCCTGTAATCCCAGCACTCGGGAGGCTGAGGCAGGAGGATCACTGCGAGTTCGAGGCCAGCCTGGGCTGCAAAGTGAGCTCAAGGCCAGCCTGAACTGCATAGCGAGACCCTGTCTCAAAAA